TCCTTCAAATTCCAGTAGCTCCTTAGGTGTTATTGACTACAAGTACCAGGGTGCTCTGGGCCAAGACAATCTTTTTCTGTGTTCTCTTCCACTAACCCACCCATACACGCCTAGAGGTACAAAAGTAGGAATGCTTCTGTACCAGATTACCCCCACCCCAGCCTCCTGTAGTTTATATAGTAAAGGACTTTTTAATTTAATTTTTTTTTTTTTTTGAGTCGGAGTTTTGCTCTTGTTACCCAGGCTGGAGTGCAATGGCGCGATCTCAGCTCACCGCAACCTCCGCCTCCTGGGTTCAGGCAATTCTCCTGCCTCAGCCTCCTGAGTAGCTGGGATTACAGGCACGCGCCACCAGGCCCAGCTGATTTTTTGTATTTTTAGTAGAGACGGGGTTTCACTATGTTGACCAGGATGGTCTCGATCTCTTGACTTCGTGATCCACCTGCCTCGGCCTCCCAAAGTGCTGGGATTACAGGCATGAGCCACCGCGCCCGGCAATTTAATTTTTTTTTAAGAGAGAAGGTCTGGCTCTGTCACTCACACAGGAGTGTAGGGGCACGGTCTTGGCTCACTGAAGCCTTGTCCTCCCAGGCTCAAGCAGTCCTCTTGCCTTTGCCTCCTGAGTTGCTGGGGCTACAGGCAGGTTCCGTCATGCCCAGCTAATTTCTCATTTTTTGGTAGAGACGAGTCTCCCTGTGTTGCCCAGGCTGATCTTGATCTCTTGGGCTTAAGCGATCCTCCCACCTTGGCCTCCCAAAGTGCTGGAATTACAGGTGTGAGCCACTTTGTCCAACCAAGAAGTACCTTTAGATGAGGCATATATTGTACCCCAGGTGATGATCCAGGCTAAGAAAGGTTTTGGTAAAATGATTACCATGTTAAGTTACTGTTTTGGGGAATTTTTTTTTTAATGAAATATTAACTAATCTGTTGAATGCCACTGGCTCTGGGTGACCGACAGATATGCCCTTTTATTTGGATGTGATGTTGAGTCACAGGTCATTATGTGTTGCCGGTGTTTTTATTACTTTTCATATCAGTTCAGACGAATCACTCTCAGGTCCATCTGCTGCCTCTTCGTTTTTGCACTGTTGTGAAATTATGTTAGGGACCTTGGTTTCCTATAGTTTGCTCATTTTATGTCTAGGAGAACAGTATTTCAGTTGCTGGAGTTAATATAGGGCTTTTTAGATGCCTGATTCAATCTCTTACACACAGTTAAGAAAACTGTATCCTCAGAAATGACTGTCTAATTTAAAAATGAGGAAATTGAGGCCCAGTACTTGTAAGACTAGTCAGGTAATGACTCAGGGAGGATAGAATCAGGAAGACATAGAGATTCTGGCATCAGCATCATAATTAATGTCAGGCACTTATTACTGGGCACTGTGTTCCTTTATCTGGATTATCTCATTTAATCTTCATATCATTTTTTTGAGAATAGATAGTCTTTTTTTTTTTTTAATCTAAAAAAATTGATAGAATTGTAGCTTAGAGGTTAAGTAACTTGTCCAGGGGTTCTGGTTTTTTTGGTGATACTGTGCTGCTTATAAATGCAGAATATTTAGTATGTTTTCACCTATTGGCAGTTCTCATCACTTTAGCTATTCAAGGAATCTAACTTCTCATGGAGGAAAGCTAAAATGCTTCACTAAATTGACTTGGGGGTGTAGGGTCTGATAATGTCCAGGAATATGTCATATGCTGGTTAATGACATATGTCATCAGTCATATCTGGCATTAACCAGCCTGCTTCCTTTATGATTTTATGGAAACATTGTAAGTATCATTCATAAGTCAGAAATACCTTTGCCTTTGATTTTTACAGAGTGTGCTAAATAAAATTGGTTAGAGAGGCCAGGCGTGATGACTCATGGCTATAATCCCAACACTTTGGGAGTCCAAAGCAGGTGGATCACCTGAGGTCAGGAGTTCAAGACCAGCCTGGCCAATATGGTAAAACCCCATCTCTGCAAAAAGACAAAAATCAGCCAAGCTTGGTGTTGCTCCTGTAATCTCAGCTACTCGGGAGGCTGAGGCAGGAGAATCACTTAAACCCAGGAGGCGGAGGTTGCAGTGAGCCAAGATCACACCACTGCATTTGCACTCCAGCCTGGGCAACAGAGTGAGACGCTCTCAAAAAAAAAAAATAGAGGCCGAAGAATGGGATAGGGAGAGAAGTGGAAAGAGATGAGGCCCTGGGCAGAAATGGCAAGCCTGTGAAGCAGACAGCCCTATTGATTTATGCTGTGAACTGCATTCTGGAGCAAAGAATTGAAATCCATTATGTCAAGTGCATAGCCTACAAATCCCTTTGAAAAGCAATTAGCTACCATCTAATCCCAAATCATTTAAAAATAATTTTAAAGTACTCAGAATTCTAAAATGCCCTAAGCAGTTTGTCTTGAAAACAGTGAAATGGATGGAAAAATAACATTTTAACGATATCTTCCTCCCATATATTTAATTGTCTGACTTAGTGTGTTAAATTGCATTTTAGATTAGTACAGATCTGGAGGCTAGGATATATTCCCTTGGATATTCTGAAACTCACGTAAAACAGGATATGGAAGGGCATCTTATCAGGTAGCTTAAACATTCTTTTCTAATATTGCCATAATTTCAGACTTTTGGAATAGTTGCAAAAATAGTACAAAGAATTCCCATGTACCCTTTACCCAGATTTTCCAAATGTTAACATTTTACCATGTTTTCAAAGACCTCAGAAAGGTAAAAATTTGGTTATCTACCTAGAAACAAATCACCTGAAGAATAAAGACATAGCAGGATTAGTTTAAGAGAGCAGTTACTCAGAGGAACAAAGGACCTTAGAATCAGAAGCTCTCAAGATGGAGAAAGACTTCTGTAATAGAGTAGGACAAAATAAGAGAAAAATTTTACATAAATAAATAATTGCATTCTTTTTACATGTAGCCATAGAGGTCATATTTCTATATCCATATGGTTGACATTTTTTGGCAAACTCCAGATGTGTAGTGCTGTATACTGTTACGTGATAGTCAAATTTTAAATGTGTGTATACGTTTGTGTGGGTTTGTATTAACATGAGAGATAGTGTTAGTGTACAACTAAAGCACTCAGCTTTTCATAGTATGTCAGAATTTAAAATACCTATGCCTTTGACCCAGCAGTTTACCTTTAAGAGTTTATTATTCTTAAAGAAAAGAAATTATTTTTTTAAATAATCATCAAATAGTATGCAAAATTTTTAATAAAGATAATACAGGCTAGTTATAGTATTCAGTAAGATTAGTCACTTCTTTGCACAGAAATTACACAGGTGTAAAGGGTAATTTAAAAACTTAGTTGGAAAACATACATAACAATAAATTTCCCATCATAATCACTTTTAGGCATACAGTTCAGTAGTGTTAGGTACATTCACACTGTTGTGCAACAAGTCTCCAGAACTCCTTATCTTGCAGAACTGAAACTCTGTACTTCCAGCCCCTGGCAACTACTAGTCTACTTTCTGTCCATGAAAGTAGGCACTCTAGGTATCTCATATAAGTAGAGTCATACAGTATTTGTTCTTTTTTGTGGCTGGCTTATTTCACTGAGCAGAATATCCTCAAGGTTGATCCATGTTGTGGCCTGAGTCAGAATTTACTTTTTTTAAAAAACTGGTTTTAAATAAGACTTCATTTTTTGGAGCAGTTTTAAGTTCACAGCAAAATTGAGTGGATATCCTGCACCAGAGTGGTACATTTGGCTCCACATTAACACATCATTATCACCCAAAGTCTGTAGTTTACCTTAGAGTTCCCTCATGGTGTACATTCTGTGGATTTGAACAAATGTATAATGACTTATATCCACCATTATTGTATCGCAGTAGAGTAGTTCCATTGCCCGGAAAATCCTCTGTGCTCTGTCTGTTCATCCCTCTTCCCTCTAATCTTTGGCAACCTCTAATCTTTTTACCATCCCCATAGTTTTTTGCCTTTTCCAGAAAGCCATGTAATTGGAATCATAAGTGTGTAGCCTTTTGAGATTGGCTTTTTTCATTTAGCAATATGCATTTAAGCTTCATCTACATTTTCTCATAGCTTGAAAGCTCATTTCTGTTTAGTGCTGAACGATAACCTATTGTCTGGATGCCCCACAGTTTATCCATTCACCTATGGAAGGACATTTTGGTTGCTTCCAATTTTGGGCAATTATGAATAAAGTTATAAACATCCATGTGCAGGTTCTTGTGTGGGTATAAGTTTTCAACTCCTTTGGGTAAATACAAAGGAGGATAATTGCTGGATTGTATGGTAAGAGTATGTTTAATTTTGTAACAGACTGCCACACTGTCTTCCAAAGTGGCTGTACTATGTTGCATTCCCATCAGCAACAGAGTTCCTGTTGCTCCACATCCTCAGCAGCATTTGGTGTTGTCAGTGTTTTGAGGTTTAGATATTTAAATAGATGTATAGTGATATCTTTTTATTTTAATTTGTAATTCTCCCATGACATATGATGTTGAGCGTCTTTTCATATGCCTATTTGCCATCTATATATCTTCTTTGGTGAAATCTCGTCAGGCAGCCTAATTTTTAATTGGATTCATTTTCTTATTGCTGAGTTTTAAGAATTCCTTCTTTTGGATAACAGTCCTTTTTCTGATTCGTCTTTACAAATGTTTCCTCCCTGTCTGTGTCTTGTCTTCTCATTTTCGCGGTGTCTTTCACAGGGCAGAAGTTTTTTGTCTTAATGGAGTCCAGCTTAACAATTTTTGCTTTTATGGTTTGTGCTTTTGGCATTGTATCTTAAAAGTCAACTAGATTTTCTCCTATGTTATCTTATAGGAGTTTTTTAGTTTTTCATTTTACGTTTAGGTTTATGATCCGTTTTGAACTAATTTTTGTGAAGAGTATAAGGTCTGTGTCTAGATTTCATTTTTTTGGTGTGTGGTTGTTCACTTTTTCCAGCACCATTCATTGGAAAGACTAGCTTTGCCAACTAATATATTGCCTTTGCTTCTTTCTCAGAGATGAGCTGGCTGTATTCATGTGGGTCTGTTTCTGGGCTCCCTCTTCTGTTACATTGGTCTGTTTGTCTGTCGTTTCACCTATGTCACACTATCTTGATTACTGTAGCTTTATGGTAAGTCTTAAAGTTGGGTGGTGTCAGTCTTCTGATTTTGTTCTTCCCTTTCAATATGTTTTCTGGCTGTTCTGAGTCTCTTGCCACTCCATGTAAACTTTGGTGTCAGTTTGTGGATATCCACAAAATAACTCGCTGGGATTTTGATTGGGGCAATGTTGAATCTAGAGAAGAAGAACTGAGATTTGACAGTATCGTGTCTTGCTATCCATTAACATGGAATATCTCTCTTTATTTAGTTTTTCTTTGATTACTTTCATCAGAATTTTGTATTTTCTTTTTTATATAGATCTTGTACATATTTTGTTAGATTTATACCTTACTTCGTATTTCACTTTTTGATGGTGCAAATGTAAATGATATTGTATTTCAGATTCTGCTTATTCATTTCTAGCATATAGGAAAACAGTTAACCTTGTCCCTGCAAGCTTGCTGTAATTACTAGTTCCAGGAGTTTTTTATTGATTATTTTGGATTTTCTACATCAACAATCATGTCATCTATGAAGAAAGACAATTCTATTTATTCCTTCCCATTCAGGGTACTCTTTATTTCTTTTTAAAAATCTTCTTGCATTAGTTAAGACTTCTAGTACAATGTTAAAAAGAAGTGGTGAGAGGAGATTTTCTTGTCTTTTTCCTGATCTTTTTTTTTTTGAGGCAGAGTCTTGCCCTCACTGTGTCACCCGGGCTGGAGTGCAGTGGCGTGATCTCGGCTCACTGCGACCACCACCTCCTGGGTTCAAGCGATTCTCCTGCCTCAGCCTCCTAAGTAGCTATTTTTTTGTATTTTAGTAGAGACAGGGGTTTTACCATGTTGCCCAAGCTGGTCCCGAACTTCTGACTTCAGGTGATCCACCTACCCCAGCTTCCCAAAGTGCTGGGGGTTACAGGCATGAGCCACCATGCCCGGTCTTCTTCCTGATCTGAATGGGAAAGCTTCCAGTTTTTCACAATTAAGTATGATGTTAATAGTAGGTTTTTTGTTCTTTATCAGGTTGAGAAAGTTCCCCTCTTTCTAATTAGCATTTTCTTCTTTTTTAAGACTGAGTAATAGGCCATATGTGAATACCACATTTTTTTACCCATGTGTTCATCGATGGTCACTTGGGTTGCTTCCACATTTTGGCTATTGTGAATAAAGCTGCTATGAACATGGGTGTACAGATGTCTATTCAAGACCCACCCTGCTTTCAGTTTCTTGGTGTGTATATACAGCAGTGGAATAGCTGGATCATGTGGTAGTTCTATTTTTGATTTTTTTTTAGGAATTAATATGTAAAATTTTATATATAAGGACAAATTTTTATACTGCATTGATGTTTATTTTATAATAGCAAAAACTTGGAAGCATATTTGATCAGCAGGCGACTGGCATATAAATTACGACACATGCATATAATAAAGTATTATGCAGCTGTTTAAAAAGATACAGTAGATCTGTATGTTTTGACATGTAACAATGTCCAGATATATTGTAATATGAAAAGGACAAACAATATGTATAGTATGAACCTGTTTTTATTTTAAATCTATGTATGTATGCTCAAAATTTGTTTTTCAAAAATAATGAACTTCTGGGGTGGGGGGGTGGAGATTTTAAGTGTGATAGAAGAGCAAACTTTTAACCTTACTGCTTTATAAATTACTGTATCATTTTGGGGTTTACAAGAAGCATAGTTTTTATTTTTTTTATTTTTTTTATTTTTAGAGTCTGGCTCTGTTGCCCAGGCTGAAGTGCAATGGCACAACCTTGGCTGACTGCAACCTCCGCCTCCTGGGTTCAAGCAATTCTCCTTCAGCCTCCCAAGTAGCTGGGATCACAGGCGCCCACTACCAAAAAAAAAAAAAAAAAAATTTTTTTTTGCATTTTTAATAGAGGTGGGGTTTCGCCATGTTGGCCTGGCTGGTCTTGAACTTCTGACCTCAGGTGATCCACCCACCTGGGCCTCCCAAAATGCTGGGATTACAGGCGTGAGCCACCACACCTGCAAGAAGCACAGTTTTATAAGCAGAAAACCAATTTGAATTTTTGGGAAAAAAGTTGTTTGACCCTCACTTGTCTTTGACATATAAATAAAATGTTAAGTATTTCAATTATTTACTAAGTGTTTTTATGCCCACAAGGTCAAATGCTAGTCACTGAGATATCTTAAATATCTTTTTATTATTATATTTGAATGTCTTTTTATTATTAAGGGTATCTGTTGTTTCTGTGATCTGAGGCATAAAATTAGTACAGTGATTTCCATCAAAATGGTTTCATATAAGGAACACCACTCTACCATTTTTATGTCACATTTGAATAGTTTTTCCCTTTTCCTGTGACTTGGTGTGGCACAGTAAGTAGTGGAATTGAAAGTTTGTCAAGATTCCTCTGCTCTTGAAGAAAATATCTTTAAGCATTGTGTTATATTACACACTGATTCCTGTTCTTTTCCTTTTTCATCTGATAGTAGAACTTCATGGAGGAACACGGAGTGACCCAAACTGAACATATGGCTACCATAGAAGCACATGCAGTGGCCCAGCAAGTGCAGCAGGTCCATGTGGCTACTTACACTGAGCACAGTATGCTGAGTGCTGATGAAGACTCACCTTCTTCTCCTGAGGACACCTCTTACGATGACTCAGATATACTCAACTCCACAGCCGCTGATGAGGTAACAGCTCATCTGGCTGCTGCAGGTAATGTTGTTTGGATTAGAAGCTCTTCTTTAATTTTAATTTTTTTTGTTTTGTTTTTTTTGAGACAGAGTCTCACTCTGCTGCCCAGGCTGGAGTGCAGTGGCACAGTCATGACTTACTGCAGCCTCGATTTTCTGGGCTCCAGTGATCCTCCCATCTCAACCTCTGGAGTTGCTGGGACTGCTGACATGTACCATGACATCTGGCTAATTTTTGTATTTTTTATAGAGACAGAAATCTCACTGTTTTACCCAGGCTGGCCTCAAACTCCTGGGCTCAAGTGATCCTTTTGCCTTGGCCTCCTGAAGTGCTAGGATTACAGGTGTGAGTTATCATGCCTGGCCTTTATTACACTTTTTTTAAACCTTGCAGTTATAACTTGAGCCTGTATTATACCGAGACTTGAGGTCTGGAATCACTTACTATTAGTGTTATGGCTTTGGTTTTATTTTTTCATCTGTTCTGCCCATGTTTTGGCTTTAAACTAAAGCATTTATTCCATTTGCATTAAACAGAATGACTCACACATATTTAGATTTAAATTTACCTTCTTTTCTGTATACTTTCTCTTTACCCTACCTGTTTTGTTTACTTTTCTCTTTCTTGGCATTTTCTTTTGTAGTAATTGAAAATTTTGTATTTTTTTTTCTTTTTTGTTAGTTTGAAAGTTACAAGCTTTTACTGTTAGTGATACATCCTTTACTTACCAGTGTTTTATGTTGACTAGGCTCAGTGGCTCATGCCTGTAATCCCAGCACTTTGGGAGGCCAAGGTGGGAGGATCACTTGAGCCCAGGAGTTTTGAGACCAGCTTGGGCAATGTAGTGAGACCCCATCTCTACCAAAAAAAAAAAAAAAAATAGCTGGGTGTAGTGATGTGCTCCTGAGTCCCAAGTACTTGGAAGGCCGTGGTGGAATGACTGATCACTTGAGCCCAGATGTTCGAGGGTGCAGTGAGCTATGATTATACCACTGCACTACAGCCTGGGTGACAGAATGAGAGCTTGTGTCCAGTTAAAAAGGAAAAGCAAAAAGTTGTATATACGTGGTACTTTTAACCTCTACAGGGATAATACAAATTTCTTAGAACACTTGAATTTCATGCACCCACCATATATGCTATTGTTGTCCTTTGTATTCATTTTTGGTATACAGTTGGCCCTCTATCTGTGGGTTCCACATCTGCACATTCAACCAATTTTGAATAAAAAGTATTAGGGAAAAACAATAAATAACAATATAACAATTAAAAATAATACCAATAAAAGGTCAATACAATATAGCAACTATGTATATAGCATTTACATTATATTAGGTATTATACTTAACCTACAGGTGGTATGGAAGGACATGCATAGGTTATGTGCAAATACTACACCATTTTATATCAGGGACTTGAGCATCTGTACATTTCGGTACCCTTGCTCACGGGGTATTGGGGGAAGGGAGGGGAAAGTCAAGATCCTGGAACCAATTTCATGAGGATTTGAAAGGACAACTGTATTTTACACACCACAAGACAATATTTTTATTTTATATGTAATGTTCATTTTTTTCCCCTGCATCTCCAGCTGGTCTCCTGAGATGGTTTTTCTTCTGCCTAAAAACACCACTTAGTATTTGCTTTAGCATGGATCTGCTAGTAGGAAATTCTATTTTTGCTTGTCTATGAATATTTTTATTTAAACTTCAACCTTGAAGGATGTTTTCACTGAGTATGGAATTCTAGCTTGGTGGTTTTTCTTTCCTCATATTGAAGGTACTGTTGCACTGTCTTCTGGATTCCATTGTTACTATTGAGAATTCAGGTATTTCATTCTAACAGCTACTCTTTTGAAGATTATCTCCCATATGGCCAACTCCCTCTCCTCACTCAACTGATTTTTCTATTTAGTTTTTCTGATATATTTGGCTCTGATTTCTATTTATTTATTCTGTTTAGGATTTTTTGCACATCTTGACTATGTGGATTGATGTCATCGATTCTGGGAAATCTTAGCCACTAGATTTTGCTTCTGCTGCAGTCCATCTCTTTTCATTCCATGGCTCCATTTACTTATGTTAGTCTTCCTCACTTGTATGTCTTTTACCATCTATTCTGTATGTACCACCTTTCTGTGTAGTTTCTTCTGTCTTTCAACTTGTGATTTTCTTCTTTAGCTGTTGTATTAATCTGTTTTCATGCTGCTGATAAGAGATACCCAAGATTGGGAAGAAAGAGGTTTTAATGGACTTACAGTTCCATGTGACTGGGGAGGCCTCACAATCATGGTGGAAGGCAAGGAAGAGCAAGTCACGTCTTACATGGGTGGTAGTAGGCAAAAAGAGAGAGAGCTTGTACAGGGGAACTCCTCTTTTTAAAACCATCAGACCTTGTGAGACTTATTCACTATCACAAGAATAGCATGGGAAAGATCTGCCCGCATGATTCAATTACCTCCCACTGGGTGCCTCCCACAGCACATGGGAATTATGGGAGTACAATTCAAGGTGAGATTTGAGTGGGGACATAGAGCCGAACCATATCATTCTGCCCCTGGCCCCTCCCAAATTTCATGTCTTCACATTTCAAAACCAATCATGCCTTAACCAACAGTCCCCCAAAGTCTTAACTCATTTCAGCATTAACTTAAAAGTCTACAGTCAAGTCTCATCTGAGACAAGGCAAGTCCCTTCTGCCTATGAGCCTGTAAAATCAACTTCCTAGAAACAATGCGGGGTACAGATATTGGGTAAATACAGCCATTCCAAATGGGAGAAATTGTCCAAAAGGGCTGTAGGCGCCATGCAAGTCTGCAATCCAGTAGGGCAGTCAGATCTTAAAGCTCTAAAATGATCCCCTTTGACTCCATGTCTCACATCCAGGTCACGCTGATGCAAGAGGTGGGGTCCCAAGGTCTTGGGCACCTCTGCCCCCTGTGGCTTTGCAGGATATAGCCTCCTTCCCACCTGCTTTCATGGGGTGGTGTTGAGTGTCTATGGCTTTTCCAGGCAAATGATGCAAGCTGTCAGTAGATCTACCGTTCTGAGAGCTTCCCTCTTCTCATAGCTCCACTAGGTGGTACCCCAGTAGGGACTCTGTGTGGGGTCTTGGACCCCACATTTTCCTTCCGCACTGCCCTAGCAGAGGTTCTCCATGGGGAGAACCTGCAGCAAACCTCTGCCTGGACATCCAGGCAGAGGTTCCCAAACCCCAGTTTTTGACTTCTGGACGCTTGCAGGCTCAACACCATGTGGAAGCTGCCAAGGCTTAGGCTTTGCAGCCCCTGAAGCCATGGCCCAAGCTCTACATTAGCCCCTTTCAGCCACAGCTAAAGCAGCTGGAATGCAGGGCACCAAGCCCCTAGACTGCACACAGCACAGGGACCCTGGGCCCAGCCCTCAAAACCATTTTTTCCATTGTCTTGGGGCTTAACATTCGGCTCCTTGTAACTTATGCAAATTTCTGCATACAGCTTTAATTTCTCCTCAGAAAATGGGATTTTCTTTTCTGTCCACATTGTCAGGCTGCAAATTTTCCAGACTTTTATGTTCTTCTTCTGTTATAAAACTGATTGCCTTTAACAGCACCCAAGTCACCTCTTGAATGTTTTGCTGCTTAGAAATTTCTTCTGCCAGATACCCTAAATCTTTTCTCTCAAGTTCAGAGTTCCACAAATCTCTAGGTTGGGGCAAAATGCCACCAGTCTGTTTGCTAAAACATAACAAGAGTCACCTTTGCTCCAGTTCCCAACAAGTTTCTCATTTCCATCTGAGACCACATCATCCTGGACTTTATTGTCCTTATCACTATCAGCATTTTGGGCAATGCCATTTAACAAGTCTCTAGGAAGTTCCAAACTTTCCCACATTTTCCTGTCTTCTACTGAACCCTCCAAACTGTTCCAACCTATGCCTGTTACCAAGTTCCAAAGTCACTTTCACATTTTTAGGTATCTTTTCAGCAGCACCCAACTCCTGGTACCAATTTACTGTATCAGCCCATTTTCACACTGCTGATAAAGACATACCTAAGATTGGGAAGAAAAAGAGGTTTTAATGGACTTACAGATCAACGTGACTGGGGAGGCCTCACAATTATAGCAGAAGGCAAGGAGGAGCAGGTCACATCTGTATGACAGGAGGCAAACAGTGAGAGACCTTGTGTGAGGGAACTCTTTCGGACCACCACATCTCATGAGACTTATTTACTATCACAAAAACAGCACAGGAAAGACCTGCCCCCATGATTCAGTTACTTCCCACCAGGTCCCTCCCGCAACACGTGGAACTTATGAGGGTACAATTCAAGATGAGATTTGGGTAGGGACACAGCCAAACCATATCAGTTGTGTTTAAGGTGTTTTTTTGTGTGTGTGTTCTCTTTTCTTTGTTTTTTTCTTTATTTGTTAAGGTGCTTTTAAATCTGTTCATTGACTTCTTAATTTTGATAATTGTTAATAGTTTAACTAAAACTACTAACCAAGTATTTTTTTAGAATTTCTAGTGTGTGTGTGTGTGTGTGTGTGTGTGTGTCCCAAATTTGTACTGAACAGTTTCCAATAGTGGTAAAAAATTTTTTTTAACAAATATGATTTTATAATTTATCTAGTAATTTGCTCTTAAGTTCCAGTGAGTCAGTTTTTGTTACATGTTGTTAATGCCATTTCTTGTTCATGTTGGCTGTTTTCTTGGTGTACTGTTACATTTGAATGAATGCTGAATTATGTGTTTGGAAAATTATTTTTAGAAATTATTTGGGGTCTTGTATAATGTTGTCTTCATTTAGAGAGGATTTTTGTTTGCTTCTGCCAGCTGCCTGAGGGCACTAGCAATCCTGGATCATCTTAATCCAATTTAAGGTTTTGAGATTTTTCTGGGCTACTAAATGACTTAAAGCTGGGCTACGTTTTATATCATTTAATTTCCTGTTTACATTTGAACATTTAGCACCATGATGAAAAGACTTCATGTAAACTATGCCTCAATGCGTATAGTATTAGATATTGATCTTAGAAGGGT